GTTGTCATTGCTCTTTTTCTCCTTATTATTCCATTTACAAGTCAAGGCTTTGTTCATATTCATATTTCTTTTATGAAATCTTTTTAAATGAAATTTTCCTAAACTCACTCAAGCCAGACTTCATTACTCTTTCTGCCATCAGAATTTAACTATCTTCTTCTTAGCTTTAATGGAACAGGGAAATTAAATTTCACAATAACTCATTTCTTATTTTTGGTATATTTGATACTTGGTACCACACAAACAGAGAATAAATATTTTCCCCATTGACCTAGGACATTGAAAAACAAAACCCCAATAAATCCCCAGGAATAAAAATAGAAGCCAGTGTGGTGGTGCAGTCTGTAATTCCAGCATCTTGAGAGGCTGAGGATATTCAAGTCCAACCTGGGCAACTTAGTGAGGCCCTTTCTCAAAAATTAAAAAAAAAAAAAATTTAAAATGGCTGTGGATGTACCTCGGTAGTAGAACACTCCTGGGTTAAAATTATATACATATATATTAAAATGTATACACATATATATTCCTTAATAAAGACAGGAAATATTTTTTAAATTGTGATGTTAATAAAGCACAAATTTTTCAAAACCATAATTCTGAATAATTGTTGAGCTAAGAAGAGAATCAAAGCTTTAATTATGGACAATTCAGAAATTATAATATTAACCCTAAAATGTAAATTATTGGGTATAGATATACTGACAGTTGAAAAATATACAGCCTTAAATCATCATAAAACTCAAGGCTTCTTTTTGCAAATGAGTTGTAACATTAACCTTTAAAAAAGAGGAATTGGAGAAATAATGTGCTTAAAAGCAGAATCTAATGATCATCAGTGCTATTTTTGAGTGCTAACCATGTAACCAATACTTCAAAAGGCTCTTTATATTAACTATCTCAAGCTAAAATCAGATTGCTTTCTCAAACCCAACATATATCATATACTTCTTTCTAACATCAGAAGAATCATTTAACCTTCTAAATTTTTGTTTCTTTTCATGAAAAGTGGACCAATATTTGTACCTAACTCAAATTAAATGACATGTGTACCAAATGAGATTTGTGCATTGTAAATTCTACCACAGTCAATTCCAGATTAAGATCTAAATGGGGGGCGGTTATGAAATATTTAAAAACATACAGAAGAATATTTATATATTTGATGAGAAATCTTTTTTTTCTTTCTTTCTTAAAAAAATGTGATCATATGTAGAAACCACAGAGGGGGAAAAATTGATTGATTTGAACTATATCCAAATTCAAAATTGAGCTGATCAAGTCAAAGTTGATAGAAGTTGAGAGTAGAATGGCAGCATAGGCTGGGGAGAATAGCAGAGAGGGAGCTGTGGAGAAGAGGGTTCTGTGGCTGCTAAGTCACACTCAAGTATAAGTTTGGTGTGCTATTGCAGTGAAGTGACTACCGATAAAAAGAATGAACCATACATTTCAGTGTATAACAACAAAGCCCACTAGTATGCACAATTAAAATGCACCATTAAAAATGATAAACAAAAAAAAATGTTTTTACCACAAAGAAGGTCAAGTAGATAGATGAGTAGATCCTGATTTAAAAACTACACAATAGGCTGGGATGTGGCTCAAGTGGTAGCGCGCTCACCTGGCATGCGTGCGGCCTGGGTTCGATCCTCAGCACCACATACAAACAAAGATGTTGTGTCCGCCAAAAACTAAAAAATAAATATTAAAATTCTCTCTCTCTCTCTCTCTCTCTTAAAAAAAAACTACACAATGTGTATATATATATATATATATATATATATATATATATATATCAAAACACCACCTCCTACTCCAAAATACCAATAATATCTGTAACTATGGTCCACTTCATGCTTTAAATATAGCTCTTGCTTCTCTGCCACTGAAGCTTATCTTTTAAAAAAAAAAAAAGACATTTTTTTTTCCTCTTTTCCCACTCCCAAATTAATAAGTGAATCACAAACCCCTATAGGGAAAACCTGGAATGTAGCCTTTGAATACCTTAAAAATCTTTTGCTATCTGTGTGGGCAGAATCACAGCCTCTGGACAGGAGTCCCACCACACCACACCACCACCCCATCCCCACCCGGGGCATCTCCTTTGCTAGCAAAACAATAAAAACTTTTTCTTATCCTTTTTTCTCAAAACCATGGTGTTATTGGATGGATTGTCATCGGGAACCAGGACAGAGCTCTTGGTAACCTATTTATGAGTCAAAGTATTGGCAATAAAAAGCAAAACAGCTAGAAGGATTTTCGTGTTCTCATCAAAAATGAGAAAGTGTTTGACGAGATAGTGTGTTTAAACATTACACAAATATATATGTAGTGAAACATCATGGTATCCTCTATATGCAGTTTTTATATATCAGTTAAATCGTCATCTATATTTTAAAAAAACAAACTAAAAATATGAAAAGATCCATTTCTACTTAGAATGTAGAAAGCTATAAGTGAATATCACTCCCAAACTAACAAGAGAAAAAAGATAATTTAGGAAATTGTAACTTTTCTGAAGCTGAGCATACTAAGCGACAAAGGAAACTAAATTGCAAAGAATGGCAAACCCTTCCCTCCAAAGGAGACAGACATATCAACTGCTTTGACAGAGCCTAGAAGAAAGAAGCAGCTACCATATAAGCAGGTCAAAAGAAATCAGCCCAAATTTTAAGAAATTCATAGATGCCAATTGTGGAATATACAATGCCAATAGCCTGGTACACCAGGTTTATGGGAAATATGGACTCTGTTCATCTCCTTCCCAAAGGAAGGAAAGGATTAAAAAAAAATAGTAGAATAGGGCAGGGAAAAGGTAAAAGACTCTCCCACCCTTATTCCACAGATGTACCCCATACTGATGCCAGCCTGCAGGGAGTAATCTACAGCTGCTAGTGCAGAAGCACAAACAGCTCAATTGCCTAGCTCCTTCTCAATTGCCCAAACTTCTCTCCTTTGAAGCAGATGCTGTAGCTGCCAGCAGAGGGCAGCAAGTTCTCTTGCCCCATGGCCCAGATCCACACCCACTGCCTTCCAGAAGGTGTTGAAGACAAGTCCTCCAGTGGGGAAAGCATAGGAAGCCCACTTGCCCCATAGGATATGGGCCAAGACCCATTGCTACAGAGAAAAAAAAGGTAAAATCAAAAATCTTCTGCCCCTAGGGGAGGCTCCAAAAACTCTCAAGTACTTATCTACCTATTGCTCTCACCCTGGCCTTTCTGTTCTCAGAGCAACCTACACTCAATTTAGCAGCTTTTTAAAATTGAGGTAATGTTCACATAACATAGTTAACTATTGTAAAATACACAATTAATTGGCATTAATATATTCATAATGTTCTGCAACCACCACCATGATCTAGTTCCACAATACTACAATGTCCCAGGGAAACTCCATAAGAATCATCTGGTTATTCTCTATTCCCCAGGCCCTGCCAACCATTAATCTTCTGTCTCAATGAATTTTTTTTCTATTCTGGATATTTCATACAAATAGAATCATACAATGTGTAACCTTTTTTGACTGGCTTCTTTAACTTAATCTAGTATTTTCAAGGTTCATCCATGTTTTTGCACATATCAGTTCTTTATTCCTTTTAAAGACTGCATAATATTCCACAGTATGGACATATGACGTATTTTTATCCATTTGTCCACTAATGGACATGTGGGTAATTTCCATTTTTAACTTTTGTGATTAGTGCTGCTGTAAATATTCACCTTTTAGACTCTTGTGCTGACTGTTCTCTCCACTTCAGTGGTCATCTGTAGAATCTCTCCTTCTTTCCATTCAGGTCTCAAGTGTCAATGTTTTCTCTACATATTGGTCTTTTACAGCCACATTTGCAATGTAACTCCAGTCCCTGGCTGCTCACATTTTCAGTTTAGCACTTCTAAGATTATTCTCTTGTTTGCATATTGATTTCCCCACTACAGATGAAGTGGGGAATCTCGCCTCCCAAGAAGGAGGGTTGTTTTGTCTTGTTTTACTCCATCCTCCTTGCCCCTAGGACAATTCCCCCAAATGTCTGTTAAAACAATGCATAAGCAAAATAAAGCAGTCACAATATTTTTTTGCCTGCCAGTTTGATAAAGATTTAAAAGAACTCTGTTTATCAAAAGAACTACAAATGGGAAAAAGAAAAGAATAGTGTCAATTGCTGCTGAAGGGAAGATATAATGACACAAGCTTTCTTGAGGGCAATTTGGCAATAAGTCTCTAAAAGTTGAAAACTAGATATTCTTTGTGCCAGTCGTCTATCTACTTCTGCATATTTATATTTTTAAAAATTAGGTTTTCAGAGATGTATACCAGGGATTTGGGGCAGCATTTGTAAAAGAGCAATGTGATGAATCCCTTCAATATCCATTCATAGAAGACAAGTCATACTCAATATAAGGAACTCCAGATGCCCATTACAGGGGACTATCTGAATACATATGTATTGGTATGAAGATATGTTGGAGGATTTGGGGGAGTTAGAAAAGCTGGTAACCCTGTAATCCTAGGGACTCAGAAAGCTGAGGCATAGGGATTGTAAGTTCAAGGACAGCCTCAGAAATTTAATGAGGCCCTAATCAACTCTATTCAAATTAAAAATAAAAAGGGCTGGGAGTAGCTCAATGGTAGAACACCCCTAGGTTCTATCACCAGTATTAAGGAAAGAAAGAAAGAAAGAAGGAAGGAAGGAAGGAAGGAAGGAAGGAAAGAAAGAAAGAAAGAAAGAAAGAAAGAAAGAAAGAAAGAAAGAAAGAAAGAAAGAAAGAAAGAAAATTTTACTCTAATAAGAAAAGAATGGTTATAAAATATTAAATTTTGGTAAAAAAATGTTTATTTAGAGATGAAAAAAGGAGGGTAAAATGTCAAAAAAGATAATTCTCATAGAGTGACATGATTGTAGGTGATTTTTGCTCTGTTTGCTCAGTTATGCTTAAGTCTTCAAATAGGTACATTTTAAAAATTTTTTTTAGTTGTAGTTGGACACAATATCTTTATGTATTTTTATGTGGTGCTGAGGTTCGAACCCAGTGCCTCACACGTACGAGGCGGGCGCTCTACCACTGAGCTACAGCCACAGCCCCAGAAGGTACATTTTTAATTATAAATACAAATTTAAATAAATGCATATATTTCAGGTGCATAATAAACTCTCTTTTTGAAAATACAAATCAGAGATAATGTATTTATCTGGGATGTGTATATCAATTAAGAAGATGTCAAGTTTTTGTGGATTTTTCTACATTACTATTGATTCTTTCATTCATATATAACATCCTCAGTGTGACAAATAACTGTTTTTTTCTCTCTCTCTCAAAATCTCCAACATTCATAATACATGGTATCAAGTTTTCCCAGATTATACACAATTCCCTGGTTGTCAAAGATCTTTGCATGTTACAAAGATGCTAATATCACACTTCGGGGACTCTTTTGGATACAGTACACTAAGTCACAGACTCAGCAAACATTTTCAAGTCATTCTGTCTATTCTGTCTGCAGACCATTGGAATTTAAACTTTCTTAGGGAGACAACAGTTTCCCCTCCTGTTAAACACTATACAAGTGCAAAGTACATGAACACGTTTATAAAGAAAACTCTATAGATGGCTGAGAGAGGCAACTTGCAATATACCTAGGATGGAAATGAATCAACAGAGCAAGGCATGGTGACCAGCTGGGGCAGCTTTAGGTGGGGCTTGGTCAAAGGTCAAAACAAGTTTACAAGGTCAAATGGGGGAAGTTCAGCAGCTGTGTAAAACCAGGCAGCAGATTAATGTAGGTGAGGAACAGAGTGATTCTGGGCTACCCCGCGGTTCACCAGGGTTCTAAAGGAAGACGGACTCCCAGGCGTAAAGGACAGATCAACACCGTGGGAGAAGGAAAGTCCTGGCTTAGAGACAACAGCACAGGTAGGACTCATCTGTGGCACATTACCTCATCTAGGAAAAACAACTTAAGTTTCAGCTCTCACTAAGGTGGGCCTGCAATGGTTCAGGATCAGCAAGGGAAGAAAGAGGGTAAATCTTTGATCAAGAGAGGAAGGGAGCCTAAGTGATTTCTCCTGAGAGGAAAAAAGGCAAGCAAAAGTGGGTATTAAGAATGACATAAAAGTGGACCAAACAGAAGGTGTTTCCCATGCAATTGTGAGGAAATGTCATAATAGTAATGATAAAAAAAAAAAAAAAAAAAAAAACACCTCACTGTAGTGAAAATGGGGTGGGGGTGTGTTTTGAGTTGAAGAGGAAGATGAGTTGGGTGAGTCAGGAAGGCTTGGAGACAGTGGTCAGACTTTATCACATAGGCATGAGGAAGCCATGGCAGTTTTTGAGAGAGGGGATGATACCGTATGGTAACATTTTAAGGCAGTGGGTCTGACTTGAGTGGGTATGCAGAAATCGGCATGGGTTCTCAAAGATAAATGTTTCAACACATCCCTCTCTTTGGGATCTTTCCATCTTCCCCTTGGTGTCCTCTGAGAGATTCCTTATTCTGCTTTGTCATATGTATCAATCTTCCAGAATCCCAGGGCCTTGGTTTTCCAGAAGAGAGTCCAGTAACACTAAATATCAGTTTGTAGCCAACTGGAGCTCATAGTTGAAAACAAACTTCAAATTCATTTGGGATCTTTTTTTTTTTTTCTTTGAGATAGATGGACTTTTCATATCTCAGTTTCAAAGTTCAGGAACCCTATCTGCTAATGAGTAAATGCTCAGAAGTTATTTAAAGTATTTTACCTTTACAGGGTAAATAAGGGAAGTCAGAAGAGCAAAAACAAACAAACAAAAAAACTCTCTGTTGTAAAATCAACTGAAGTGTAAATGTACTACATGCAGTTAGGATAATTCCGTAAATAACAAAATATCAGAATTCACAAACTAAAATGTCATGGATCATATTCTTCCCAATATCTTTCCTAATATTTCAGCCACCTCAGAATCTTTTTGATCTCAGAGAATCATAAACACATCCTTGCACTGGGTTTCTCATGTGGTGAGGATGGACTCTGTGAATACCTATCCCCACCCCCGACTTCTTTGTCTCACTTTGAGATTATATCCACCTTTTCTTTCATTTGAACTATGTTTCAGAATCCTGAACTTGCTCTGTCCTGGGCCTAGGACACTGGAGGACCTGATGTTCTACGAAGTAGTAACAATATTGTCATTGTGACAATAGAAACAGTCATCAGCAATGACAACGTTCTATGCACATTCTATTACTACATCACTAATTGCAACATGGCCACAAAGCTCCGGGGCTTGAAAAGAGATGATGAGGTCATCTGCAGCATTAGTCAGTCTCTCTAATTGCTAGCGTACAGTTCCAAGGTTTCCAATGGAAACCCTTATTTTCAGGATTTTATAACTGGGCACTTGTGATCGGCTGTCGACTTAAACTTGACATGAAAGGCCCCAGGCGTACGAACATAATCAACACATTCTGAGTTATATAAAAAGGGGCAACAAACAAACAAACTGCAATCATTCACAAACGGTTCTGTTTAAAAATGACATTTTACAAGTGGCCATTTCTCAGGTAACTAGTCTGCCAACAGTGCCATGGTCGTCACCATCCATCATCCACAGAGAATTCTGGAAAGCAGGAGGCATACAGACTGTCAAATACTGAGCTTCTTGTGCTCTTGGAGAGAGTATGTTATTTCAGGCCAGGTCTATTGTTTAAAGCACATGAAAATGGTCTGCCTATTAAGGATTTTATTCCTACTTAAATTTTTAAATGAATTTTTTTCCTCAAACTATGATTTAAAATGCATTTTGCAGCAGTTTCAGCACTTTTCTTCCATCCTGGGCACTGGTCTCCTGGTGATGACTGGAGGCCACAATTAACCAACCAGCTGCCCTGGGCTAGCCTCTGCTCGGGGTATTCAAAGCCATCAGATGATTCTCGACATGTCATTATTATTGCTAAGCAACAACTGGCTAGAACCGACCCTGACTGAGTAAAGCAAATGGTTTTTCAGAAATGCTACAGAAAATGATCATTGTGCAGACCCAGCAGACTACCTGGGGAAAATAAGAACAAGAAAGCCATGCTGATGAAGATAATAATAATGACCGTGGTGTTTATTGTAGGATATATCCATGAATAAGAAAGTCAGAATTCTCCTTTATCATGCGTCCATCAAAATGATACTGGCAGATCTTATTAGACCACAAGTATTTATTAACCATTGACACGTATCCTAGTTTTTCATGATTGTGAATATGATTCTCATCTAAAGGAGTTTATGATTTAGTTATAATGACATGAATACACATGGTTTCATGTGGAAAAAGATGAACACAATTATAATTTGTAAGAGGCGAGAGAAGATGAATGAGGCTAAGTTGGCTAGGGAGATCCTCATTGAACACTGGGATTCCCTGGATAGAAGACACATCCCAAATGGAAGCATCCGTGTCAGAGATGGTAAGTGATTGAGGCTGTTTATGGATTGGTTTATGGATGAGAAATATACACAGCACCTAAGGGAGCATTGGTGAGTCAAGACTCCATCCAGTTCAAGGCCTATTTATTCTGACACTTGAGAGGCCCCACCCCAGACCTACAGAATGAGAGTCTGCATTGATAACAACACGCCCAGGTGATTCTTACATACGTTCAAGTCTCATATGCACCACTATATACCATGCAGGAAAGTTCAGGAGGCTAGACAGGGAGACCAGGGGAGCAGAGGTCACCACAGACTTGAGTCACTTATTTGCAAGGAGAACTTAGCAAATCATTTTACTCGCTAGGGCTTTAGTTTCCTCGTTGATAAAGGAAGGTAGACTAGAAATGAACATAAAAATTATGTAAAACCAGAATGCTTTGTGTTGATTTAAATCTGGACAGGAAATCTATATATGTAAAGTTGATTGGGGTAAAATACCCATCTACCACACACAAAATGCAGCTTAAGGCCAACATGAGACAGACACATGCCACACTGGAAAGGATAAACATGTCCAAACAGGAGGGACTGCAATCCTCCTCACCAACAGGGCATCATGATTCCCTCTGAAAAATCCTTCTAAATTAGTGTTTTGGTCTTGATTGCATAATAGAACCAGCTGGGGAGCCTTTAAAAAACCAGATGGCTAGTTGGGACTCCAGACCCATAAAACAGGAATCTCTCAAGTTGAAGGACATGGAGGTTGAGAACCTAAAAGATTAGTTAACTTACCTCTAGGAAAACTTACAAGGAAAGCTTTCCATGGTAGATGAAGAAAGGCTCATTCCACACAATTGCATATGCCTGAAGGATCAGGCATGCTATGAACCCCTTAGTTTTAAAAATCCAGATTGTCAGATCAAAACATTACATATTTTAGGCCAGGTTCAGTGGCACACTCCTTTAGTCTCAGTGACTTAGGAGGCTGAGGCAGGAGGATCATGAGTTCAAAGCCAGCCTCAGCAATGGTGAGACACAAGCAACTCTGTCAGACCCTGTCTCTAAATAAAATAAAAAATAGTGCTGGGAATGTGGCTCAGTGGTTGAGTGCCCCTGAATTCAATTCCCAGTACCAAAAATAAAAAATGAAAAATAAAAAGAAAGAAAGAAAGAAGTTACATTTAAAAAATTTTTCCAAGATTTCTTAATTTAAGTACATATTTATTGAACTTAAATTTATTGAACTAACAAAAGAGCACATGATGAGGTCCGTCAGCTATTTGGCTAAGCCTTCATTGAAAAGCAATTTCAATATGAACTGAGTTCACTCCAGCTGTTGCCACATATGCTGTGTCCTGTCTATTCCCTGGGCAGCTGCTTCCAATACATACATTCAAGGTCTGTGGTCAAGAGGGTCTTGCTGGATTCCAAAATGCAAAGATGAAATGAGAAAAAGAAACAAGAGGAGCAGCAAGAAGAGGAGATTGTATATTCTCAAACCTGAGCACCTGCTAAGCATGATTCTTCTGTTAATCCATGATTGCAAGTGGTACTTTAGTTGGGACTAAGAGAATCTCAGTTTGGGATTATGGGAAATCCTACAGATATGTTTTGTTTTAAAACTTATTATCCCACAAATGAACCAGAAAAAAAAGCATTGAAAAAAAATTAGCATCCTGAG